TCAAATTTGTGGGACTGAAACAAAACAATCCAACCTGCAGAGTATTCCCGCAACAAAGCGTGATCATTTTGCTGCTGCCGCAGTGGCTTCAATTTTCAGGTCCACAAACATGAAGTTCGTACTGTAGGCTACATGATACCAAGGATAGGGTTTTACAGTCCCTAAGTAGATTTCGTAATCCTTCTTATTATATCTTTTATTAGATTTGTTATCCTTTGTTGATGAAAATTTTTATTTCAGTTATTTAAAATTTAGTTTAACCAAATAAAATGATTTAAATATATAATAGCTAAAATAGTCATTGAAGCCCTCCCTTAAACGTGTTATAAAAACCAGCCCCCCCCTGGTTGAAAAACAAGAAAGTAAAAGCCAAATCACAAAATTAACCCTAAAATAAGAGGTACAATATTTTGTCGATACTAGCGCCCAGTCTCACCAACATGAACTACAACATGAAAAACAATCTTTAGATTTTACAAAGGGATGAGAAGTCTACTTGTGTTGGTTAGTCGATGGTAATACGATGCGTACCGCTCTACAGCACCCCTACAGCCTTCTCTCGCGTTTTAGACCAATGTTGTAAGGAAGTTGATGCATAATGTTGAAAAATAGATTTACTTTTCCAACTATTATTTGTTCCAATGAACTTTAAATTTAGAATGCTTTACTATCCTGATTATTTAAATCAATTCACAAAATATAGGGTGTGGCAGACCACCCGTACACAATGTATAGTGGCAGAACCAATCGATGTAGATCATTCAAAACAACGCAAAAACCCCTACTTTACGTTCAGTTCTTTTAGTTAATTTTTTCTTTAGACTGTTTAAAATTAATTACAACAGCTGATGATTTTTTAATAATTCATTATATTGTACAAATAAACATTATTCCATTCTGGTTCTTTTTGTTAACATGGCTTATTACCGTGTACATGTACTCATTCACCTATTGGGTCTGATGATGATTGGAGTGTCCAATCAAAATCGATCACCACTTACCATCTTTTGTATATTTTCCGTCTTGTGAATAACAGTATAAGCGTAAATATATGTTTTAAGTGTTATAAGTGTTATAAGACGTATCTTTATTTCCTTTCCGATTAATTTACCTAAATTCTTCCTTAAAATACTCTATCGGCTTATAGCATTTGAAATTACTATAGCTTGTGTAATATTTTGCTGTCGGAAAACAAATTTACATTTAAAGTTTAAGGTAAAAAGCGTTGTAAAGGTAAAGCGAAAACTTAAATACGTAAAATATTTTTTTTAAAAGGACCTTCCACGTGATATGAAATTTGTTATACTTTGCTATTTAAGAATGTTGAGTTCTCAGCTGTCTTCTATTCTCCAAATTTGAGATTTTTTTTTAAATTGGAAAATAACACAGATAGTGCTTTTTACTACTAGTTATTTTAAAGAGTAGCTCAAGAATAAGCTTTAAAAAATTTGGCACTGTTCCGTTCAGTAGTTAGGGTAATACGGTACTTAACTTCAAAGTCCTTTTTTAAAACGTTTTGACCCACCCTGTAAATACGGTTAAAGATAATTAAAATTTTGTTACACCAAAATGATCGGGGTGATTAGACCTTTAAATTGATGTATCACACAACCCATGTTTACATTTGAAAATTTCTCAAAAAACACCCCTACCCCCCCAAATTGGGCCCATTGGGGACATTTTTCAAAATTAAAAATAGTTTTATTGGATTCGGCATGTCCAAATTAGGGGAAAATGAGACCGATTAAGTTTTATAAAACTTACCTTTGTACACAAAAGATATGGAAAGTTTTAAAATGAACACCCTGTATAGAAGGCTTATCTGTGTATTCCTATTTAATCTTAAACCTAGATCAACCTTCAGAATTGAGAAGTAAGGAAGATGGCCCAGCACTAGTTGACGGCAGGACTGCTTCTCCTCCTGTGCCAGGAATATTGTTGTCGCTCCTGCTAAATCCAGCAGCTCCTTCTGTGTAAGCTACCTTCTTTCTTCTCCTTCCAGCTGTTTTAGCCTTGCATTCTTCACAATCCATCTCACTATCTGATTTAATTTATTAGATGTTTTAAAATATCTCAGTTCTGATAACAAGTTTTTCATTAACTATATGTACAGTACGGTAGTCTCCCTTTTGACCGACCCAGGATCAACTCCTGCTTGGATTAACCCTCACGTACCCAGTTTTAAGAAGTTTTTGTGATTAAGTTACCTTTTTTGTTGGTTGCTTTGTGTTCCTGAAGTCCATATTTACTCACTAAAGCGCATTTCGCTACAGGCTTGGCATCTTCAGACTTACACAAAAATACAACACACGCCCCAGTCCATTGCGCATTGTGATGGAAGTGAATGTCTGGTGACTGAACTCTCGACCTGCCCTAGCCGCCACCGGCCCGTGATACTGTGTAGTCTTGTAGTGTAAAGAAGCAACAGTGACTCACAAAGACTTGTAAATAGAAGATTATAATTTTGTTTCTTAGGACAACTCTGAGGATGCTATACCTGTAGCGAAATGTGCATTAGAAAGATGTAATTCTAATACACAAGGGAACCAACCAAAAAAGGTAACTTAATTGTAATATAACCACCTCTGTTAGTGCACAAATAGAGGTGAGTTTATTCACCTTGAGTGAGTTAACCAATCATTTTCTGGCAGTTTATAGAGACTTCCCTCTGTACCCTTTTGTGGTATTAGAATAGAGAGTTTTTGTTGTATGTGCAGGTTACAACAAGGAAAACTCTGTCTGCATTAAGCCCCGTTTACACAACCCGATTTAGTGACCCTAAATCGGGCCTGATCAATCGGCTCTGAAATTGGATTGTGTAAAACCGTGCACCTGGTCACGATTTGGCTGGCGATTCGGTAGGGAGGTCAGGTCAGGAAGGATTTCCATTGGATTTAGGGAGGAATGGTGGGGATAGCTCACTTCCGCTGGGAACGGATGTGAATTCCGAACTACACCAGGCAATTCTCTCAGTTGAACCTTAAAATGAGTGTCTGAGTCGTCTTTCAAGTTTTTTCGTGGTTTTGAGATGACGGAATCTACTCCACAGAAGGAAAAAGATTTTTAGACAGAAATAATAAGTGTACAAATCTTACAAACTGTTGTGGGACACTCTCAAGCTTTACATTACACTGGAAACTTCCAAAAACAACTTTATTAAACTACTTATCTATCATGACGTTCTTCAACGAAGGAAAGCAACGCACTGAGCTCAGATCGAGCGCTAAGAACGGGTCGTGTAAACACAAGGCTTCTGTTGGCCAGGTGACAGGGAGGTCGGGACCAAGAACGGGAAAGGGCGGTCGGGAACGGGTTATGTAAACAGGGCTTTTGAAAATACTTTGAAATTAACATAGAAAGAACTGAAGAATTTATTTGTATCAAATGGACTTTTATAAAATGAATGTAAATCCGACCCATTCCACATCAGAAATAACAATCACTAAATATATTTTTTTCAGATTTGCAATAAAATGTTTAAAAAATTCTGTTTCATCAGCAACCTTAAGCAAATTTGTAATTGTGCTTATATATGCACTTTTAGCTTCGATATGTAATTGTTCTGTTGAGAGACGCAAAAGAAAGTTCGTAAGGTTTTTTAAGCCCAACAAAGTATTATTAGAGTAATGTTAGGGGTACAATTCAGATTGAGCTGCTGTCGTTCTTTTAGAGAATTTAATTTAAATATGTCATTGGCTTCTATGAACATCAATGAAAGAATAAATTTTGTTTATTTCAATAATAATACCCTTTATGATGATTTCAGACCCACTCATAGTGGTTCTAAAGTAACTAGAAATCTAATAATGCTAAATTCTCCAATTATTTAGAAACACACTCATTTTGATAAAAACCCCTATTTATATGGGGATTCGTCTATTTAATAAGATACCTTCAAAAATAAAATCCTACAAACAAACAAAAAATTAAATCAGGACCAAGGAATTATTGGTGGAAAAATCATATTACTCTTTAGCAGATTTCTTGAAAGACGATGACATTAATAGACAATTAATATATGTAGGATTTAACTAGGATTGTTTTCTAACCACCATCTGTTCAACCCATTTTTTACTATAAAACATAAAGGTTTGTAAATAATTTAGTATTTTAAAGCTTTGCTTAATAGTGGTTTATGAGAAAGTTATGAAAAATAAATAGAAAAAAACTTTATTACTTTCCCCTTAAGAGTAAACCTAAACGGTCAACAATGTTATTTATATAGGTAATAAATATGATTTTTTCAGGAGGCATTTTAGTGAAAATATAATCCAGCAAATAGAAATTCGCTGTCTGCTGGTTTGCTGCGGTGTATTTAATTTCCGTTTTTCTTGTTCATCAATTGAACTTAATTCTGTTTACCATTGTCTCTGTAATGAAGAATGTTTCTAGAGGCAATAAAATACTCATAACTCATTAAAACTGGTTGGGTTAACCAATCCTTTCAATGAATCTAAAGGTACTTCCATTCATTTCTACCCTCATTGCAGTAGTAGGCCTAGAATAGAGCAAAAGTATGTGCAGGCTATGACCCAGACTTAAAACTCTAAGGGGCGAAATTTAAAGCTAAGGCTATATGGGAAAGGACGGACAGGGCAAGGAAAGGAAACAACAGGAAAATTTCTGATGGATGCTTCGTCAGTTATCAAGCTACACTAGACAAGACACAAAACTATACGCCACAACACTCACAGTGTCTGACAAATCTTCAAAATATTATACCATTGACATTTTCTTGTTGTGACTTTTCGATGTGGCGCGTGTCATGTTCTTTTCAGTGCAGCTTTTAACTAGAGGCGGCAGAGCTACAGTACAGGTAAGGAAAAGGAAAGGAGAAGGACAGGAACTTTAGATCAGGTGCTTCTGTAATATTGTTAGGCTCACAATTGTTAGGCTAAGCAAATAAATTTGAACTATCTGGAATTTTGACTTATCAAGGGTTGATTTATGGGGACAAGCAAGAAACTATTCAATTACAAAGAGTTGATTTTTAATACTGTATTATTTTAGATACAGAGTGTTACAATTGAAGAACTTATTTTAGTTACTTTACAACAAAAAACAGCTTTTTTAGTTACAAACAATTGTTATTTCTATTGCATTTTTCTATTGATCCTTACGTCATAAATTATATTATTTAAGACAAACTACTGTGCTAACAGAATGTATGCTTATACTTCAAAATACTGATTCTGATTTTGATTATGATTATGATACCGAGTGTATCAAAATCATGGTTAAACTTTGAAATATTAAGAGATTTTCTACGGACTGAGCTTTTATTTGGAATTATTAAAAGTATTGATTTATTCAGGATTTAAATTACTGAAAGTACACTGTATACCCTATTATAAGTATAATCACTACGCTGAAAACCTTAACAAAGTTACATTCATCCGGAAGTTTCTTCAACGCTTTTATCTCTGTGAGATAAGTTTAATACCAAATTGTAAAAAAACTCTTGAAAACAATATTTTGTTATTCTATTTTTAATACTTGTAACAATCACAAAATATTATTCTTCTATTTGTGTATGTACATACAATATTAATAAAGATTTTTGATTCTGATTCTGATTTTGCTATTTTAACTGTTCAATTTGTATTGAAGACAACAGAACAATATGATGTGTTTGTTGCCTTAATGTTAGGTTATTTTTAAAATGTTATAAAATAAATCATATATAATAGATTACAGTCTAACAATTGTATACATTGTCCAATCTAGTAATCATGTAGTGCATATCAATAATATTAAGTAAACACACAACACATATTTAATTTTGGCGACATAATATCGAATTAATATTGACACACTGACTAAATACTGTAGTCATTTTTTTCTATAAATAACCAACAATAGAACATACTATAATACAATAGCTACTAAAGTGTGTCATGTTTTATTTGCATTGGGTGAGCTCTGTAAATTTAATCAAATTTATTATTGCCTATGTATTGTTCCAAACTTCTTCAAGTTCAATATTTTTACAACTTGAATCAGTATTTTTTTACTAAATGTGTTAACAATTTTGCACTCAGGTCTGCCTAGGGCTGTAAGAATAATTTCCTGACAGTTTCCCTTCTATGTCCTGTACCTTGTAGTGAATCCCTGTTGCCAGAATTTGTTCCTTTCCTTGTCCTTTCCTGTGTAGTGTAGCCGAACCTTAACAATGCAAAATTAAGCTTTTTACATAAGCAGCTGGGTTTTAAGTTTGTATAATAATAATAATATATACAGGGTGAGTTTTAAATGACTTCCCCCCCTACTTTTTTCTGCATTTCTTAAGATATCATCTCCGGACCACATCAGATCATTGTAGAGTAGTAAGTACTTCATTTTGACTGGGTATGTAATTTTTTTGACCGCCATCTTGGATCCGCCATTTTGAAATGAGATGAATTAATTTAAATATGAAGGTGGTGTTGTGACCCATCATTTCGAGCTACTTTTTTATGCTGAACTTAATGCCGAAATTAGTTTTTCATTTGCATCTTTGGTTTTTAAAATATTTAAATTTTAAATAAGAGAATATTAATATTTCATCAAGAAAGCTTGATAACTAAAAACGGATAGCGACATTGAGTTCAGTATAAAAAAGTAGTTCAAAATGATAAGTCACAACACCACCTTCATATTTAAATTAATTGATCACATTTCAAAATGGCGGATCCAAGATGGCGGCCGAAAACATTACATTCGTCATAACCAAGTGAAAATAGGTCGACAATGAATGGTGGTGTATACTTATCGTTATCTAGCACTATTATGAGATTATGGTCTTAGTTTGTAAATGCACAATGATAAAATGGGCTAAAAATAAAGTTATAAAAAGCCCTCATAACTTTAGAAAGTATCAAGATTTTTAAAAACTAATTGCCGCATTGTACTCAGCGTAAAATTCTTGTTTAGAATAATGGGTCACAACCCTACCTTTACATTTGAAAAAAAAACTTTGTATCCAATATGGCGGATCCAAGATGGCGGCCAAAAATGTATACCCAGTCAAAATGAAGTACTTACAACTCTATAATGATCTAATGTAGTCCGGAGTTGATATCTTAAGAAATGTAGAAAAAAGTAGGGAGAGAAACTCAATTAAAACTCACCCTGTATAATAATAATAATATAATAATACATAACAATAACATATTCGTTTCTGCAATATTTTACATGTTCACATAGTTACCTAATTTAACCAATCTTTTAGGTTTCTCTACCTATACCCAGTCCCTGGATAGGTAAAACTGTAGTAGGTAAAGAAAGGTTGTACTGTATGTGGACTCAGTAAAAATACATTTAGATCACAAGAGCTAATGAAAGATTTGCCTTTGCAGTCGAATATATAACTAGTTGTTTCATCGACTGGGTCTGTCTGAATCGCCCACTTGGTATATTTTTGTACCCCTATGAGTACCGTAACACAAACAATACATGAAGGTAAAGTAATCATACATTATGCACATTCTCTTTTTTACAGGGACCAGAGGCAGTGTCAATTGTTCATGTTTTGACTTTATGGGTTGATTAATATCATGCTAAACTAATCTCCAGATCATGAAACACTACTACATTTGGCTACATTAGATATACAAGAGAGTTTGGGGAAATAACATTCTTCAATGGTAGTTTAAAACATATATACACAGGGTGTTTTTTAATGCAACCCAAATATTAAAAGTAGGCTAATGTGAGACACTTTTTTATAATAAAACAAGCTTGTACAGTATGTTGGTATCTTTGTTTCCTTTACCTCATTGTCGATCATCTGATATACATTGTTGCATAGTGTATGAAGTATTGTGTTATAGGGAATTTGATGTGAATAAGGCTCAACATGGTGTTTTTACAAGCGCGAATAGAGTATTTGAGGTGTCTAGAATCAATCCATGCCACATCCAATTGCAAAGTTTTTCAGTTAAGTGGCAAAAACTGTAGCTGACTGACCCACCACAGCACAAACATACTTTTTTCACAAAAAAATCCTAATCTTAACTTATTTAAGACACAAATTATGACATCATATCAATTATATAATACATTTTTATGAAGAAAATATTTATTTTAAATTTGGATATGACTGGTTTTAATCATAAATGAATTTAACTAATGCTTTTGCTCCAAAGGGTTACATTTTGTAAAACTAACAGGGTTATGACCAACACAGGTAGGTGTAAAGGTGTTGAAAATCAAATATTTTAGCTATGAAAGTTATATTTACGATAAAAAGTAAACACTAGCTGTGCATGCTGGGAAGTTAAAAGACCGAAATGGGTGCTCTCATTGCCTACAACAAATTTTGCGGAGTTTGAAACCAAATGTGTGAAAACCACATTGGATCTGGCGCGTTTTGAAACCAAGGCACATTTCAACATTGTTTTGCAGTGAGATGTGGAGGGTTCAGCTAAAAAATAATGGTTTCTTTGTTTTCAGCGAGTTTGAAACCATAGGAGAGGATGTCTAACACTTTGGAAAAAAAGTGGATTTTTGCGGAGTTTGATACTAGGCCCCTCAAGTATTGTATAGGTTTACACATATTTCTTTTTAGCTACGGATCTGGTTTCCTTAAATTTATACATATCAATAATAGTTGATTGATTAGGTACTGTAATCATACCTGGAAACTCAATTTCAAACCTTTCTAGGCATAAAACCAATGTTTTACTTTAATGCATTCTTGTTACTTTTCGGGCTTGGGGAATCACCATTTTGAGTCCTATTTGCAATAAATTCCTAATACTGTAATAAGACTAAACCAGAGCCATATTTCCCTAACAGCTGACACGGCGGTTTCTGGGGGCTTCTGGCTAGGAGGTGGCCTCAATCGGGGCCTCAAATTATTTTTCTTGATAAATTTATTTCACCGTTAATCTGTTTCGCCGCTATTGCGGGATAAATATGCAAGGCCACAAAAGATCTTCACTATTTTGCTGTCAATGTAGGAGTTGTCACTATCTATCGGCGATCGTGGAAGGAAGATGTCTAGGATTTTTTTAAACCCAAGGAGTCGAAGATCATGTCCCCGCAAACTCTAAAGATCTTCACGATTTTGTCATGATTCAAGTAGACGAAGATGACGTCTCAGCGCTGTTTTGCAATGAACGTAGATGTTCAAGATATATTTGTGACCGTGGCAGATGTCCTTGATTTTACTGTGACCATAGAAGAGCTTAAAATTTTGCCGCGATTACAGATTTTGACAATTAACAATTATATTAGCCTATACCAATTAATATATTTTCAATTAATTATTTCCAAAACCACCCGATTCTGATCCTTGGCCGAAGGTCTACATTTTTTACTAAAGCCGAAAGAAATAAAAAATGTCTGGCTCCGACCTAAGACCCCTAATATTATTATTTAATAGCATAATACTTATTTATAAGCTGGTCTCCTAGGTTTTTTTGCCGTTCGGATTGTTGGAAATAAAAGGTCAATTCATAGAGTTGTAGCAATACCACGCGCATTTCTAAACCCCAACCTTAGAAGGATCCAAATATAGAGGGGTCTCTCTGGTGAGAGCTGCAAGGGGTCTCAATTCTAAATACGGCCCTGCACTAAACTACATAGATAACTAATATGCAACAATGCATTTCAGTTTATCGACAATGAACTATAGAGAACAGGGATACAGTACCAACATATAAGCTAGGTTTGTCATTAAAATGAGTAGTTTAGTTTTGGTTGCGTTTGAAAAAAAAACCTCATTTTTCCATGCCCTTAATGTTTCTCCTAAATCAAGGCCCAAAGGAATTTTTTACTTTTTAAACTATTAAGCTTTTTATTTCCCTACACTGTCATCAAATAATCGAAATCTGTATTTATTATAATTACACCCTTTCACTGTTTTTATTCATATTTAAATTATGTCCTAAATACTTAGGTAACTGACAAAACATAATATTGATCATTAAATGGTAGAGCCATGTTGAAATTGTGTTTTTTTTTTCATACAAACTGAAACTGTGTTTTTATTGATCATTAAGACATTTTTTAACTGTCCAGCGTAAATTTAATTTTAAAAGAATCTTTAGCAATATTTAAAGTTTAGGTTACCTTGAGGTTTGTTCCAGCCAAGTGATGATGTTTCAGAAAAAGAGTTGTTGTCCACACATAGCAAGACATTTTCTGGTTTTATATCTGTGTGTATTATTCCACATTTTTCATGTAGAAAACTTAGCCCTTCTAGAACCTAAGAACACAGTTGAAATTTTAGAATGAATCAGGTAAACATGTTACAATGAAGATAAATCTAAATAATATACCATAGCATTGACATTGTTGTCTGTCAAATAGTTAAAGTTATAGGAGCATACAAGTGGCATGAGCCACAGTTATGGGGGGATTGGGGGAGCAATGCTCTCCCAAAGATTTAGACAAATATAATATGAAGGTTAGGGAAAACTGTATTTATGAAGTAATATGTATATGGTGTTAGGGTCACTTTTATGAAGGGTCCGTTGGCTCAGGGCCCAGGAAGCAAGAGGTTTTAGATTTTTGGGGGCGCTAGGAAGAGAAAAATTCCCCCAGGTGGAGAGGGGCGCAATGATCTCTCGGGCCAAAAACATAAAAATCTCGGGCACATCACATACAAACCATGGGCCTGAATGGTGCAAGAGAGTATAATATCTGTTCCCAAGCGTAATAACTGTAGTGGTTAGTTATCATTAGTTGTTTGTTAATCTCATCAGTCCCATTACTGTGTCACTGACTATGTATGTCTACATTGCTTCATTGTCTTTATGTATATATTGAAGCATAAACAAAGCATACTCTGTTGATTTAAGTGATGATTTTAATTAGGTTTCATTGGTTATATTTACTTACACACATATTTTATTTATTTGATTTTATATAGTGCTAATTATTAACTCTCTTACGTACTTAAAAGATGTAGTATTTTCTTTTTTTATTGGAAGTACTGTAGTATCAACATTTATATTATCTCACCAAAGTATTAAAAAAATTGAGTAAGAATTCCGATTTAACATATTAATTTATGTAAAAAAAATCTCCAAACTTTGGTTTTCAAGACTGAAAAATCATTTTTCTCTCCAGAAGGAGCCCCCAGACCCCCTCTCCAACCAGACGCATATTCCATATCCCCTGCCACCGGCACCGGTAAGCTCAGTGCAGAAAATTCAAGAATACAGGCCCACCCAACAAATAACCTTTACAAAAATAACCTCTAACTGCGCCCATATGTAATGGTATGATAAGTGTGGGAAACCCCCATCAATCCAGAAAGTCATTTGACATCAGTTTGTAAAAATGTCATAGAGCTAAATTACGACTAAGCCAGTATAAACTAAATAGTTTTGTTGTACAGTTTACAATATTTATATATGAAATACAATATCCTGGTTTTTTGTAAATTGTGTTTGATTACATAAAAGGTGTACTCAAACATCCCCATAATACCATGGGTTTTTTGGTTTGTGCATTTTTTTAGGTTAATTTATTTAATCTCTGAGGAAAAATTGTAAACAAGGTATACTCAACAGGCATACTGTAAAGACTTTTTTTTTTTGCTCTTACACCCTCAATGAGTTGGAGCTTTACTTCCTAAATTTTGCTGTAGGAAATTGAAATCAAGTTTGGTTGTCACCTCCTTACTTCATTCACCGCAATGTAGCCTATTTCAAGTTGCAGTTTCAGTGACATTAAAGTCCTGAAACATCAGGACTCGCAAAATGCTCTTTGACATTTCATTATGTTTTTTGTTATGACTGTAATACTTTTCACTATCCTTAAGGAAAAATCCACAAAATCAAGTCACAGTATACCAACCAATATAGTATTCAGTTACAGGAATGAACAAAATGTACTAAGCCCTTAATGAGAGTAAAAAAAAGTTAAATTTTAACATGACCCACGTGACAATAATCCACGTTTTTCCCAGTAATTTAACTAACACTATTAATTCCCACAAGACCTGTCATGCAAGGATAACATGGAATGGAGTACAGAATGCAAGGCATCAAAGATTTTGAGGGATCATCAACAATATTTGGGGGTTCACAGTTTGAGTTCACTCATTCAACGACTACGGGTAACAGTCCATCCGTCACAGGTCAAGGAATGTGAGGTGTGATTCATCACACTGATCACAAAGATTGTGAGGCATCACAGATTGTGAGCCAGCAAAGATTATAAGTGTTCACAGCCATCTTAAAACCAGTTTTTTTTTTTTTTTTTTTTTTTTTATGAAATTTAATCTTACCAAATATTACTCCTACACAAACACAATACAAGTAATCAAAAGCAGAGGAGTCTCCCGAATGTAGTTGGTTAGTAGGCTTGTAACTCGACTGAGGTATATTCACACATAGAAAATAAAATTGGACTGTAATAGATACATTTCATTACTTGGCTAGAACAGGACAATATATCTCTAATATAACTTAACCTAAATCCTACAAACCTGTTTGATAATACATCGGACATTTTCTAAAGGAATTCCTTTGAATTTGGAATGTATTAGCAAATCATACAAGTTCATTTCCTCCGCTTCAAATACCATGCAAAGATGGGTTCCATTTGGGCCTTTTGTTGCGAAATGGTGTTGAAGCTTAACAATCCTTTGTTTCCCTTCGTTGTCATTATCTTCTGTTTCATTTACCTAAAAAAATATACATTCAATTATTGTTCATATATACCTGAAATACCTGTTTAAGAGTAAATACTTGTCTAAGTTTATAATAGTTTTATATTGGCCATTCTTTCACGAATTTCAAAACAGGCCTACTGTAGACTATGCAACCATATCTCCTAAAAGAAGTTTGGTGACTTTAAAAGCCATTTCTAACAGCTAGAACTGTGCCCAATTGTTCTAAAACCTTCCATTTCACCTGTTATATGTCAAGCAAGCAAGTAGACACGTTTTTAACCTTACGTTCTTCTCCGTTTCATTGATCTGTCACATTATGTATTCATTAATAGCATTGACTATATAAACTTTAACACTAGCGTTTATTTAGTCTTAATGGTAATAGGCTACTGGTGCTACCGCTGATTGCTGATTGATGCCTTTCTAAAGATACTGGCTAACAGATAATTTGACAACTAACTATTTAGGAAATCAGCTGTTTCCCCGTCCTCGCTCGCGGGCTCCGCGCTCGCTTTTGCCCTGTCATGTCAACAGCTGACTGCTGTAAAAATTGGATGATGCGTTCAACCATTGACTATATAACACTAGTGTAGTGTTAAATAGTCAATGGTACAACTTCCCATATATTGTAATATTGTTTTATTCGTTGTGCTATTGTCCACAAAGTTTATCCATGTGGAACTTAATACTACTACTGCCATTGCTTATTAAGTTTAATAAAAACTACATTTACAGGGCCGGATTTCCCAATATAGGCGCAAGCTCCCAGAGGGCGCATGGCCAAGAGGAATAATATTTTTTAATATCTAAAAATAAAATAAATAGCCTTAGCTTAACATATTTTGCGAGTTGATAAAAAAGAACTCTTGCCAATAAAGCATTATAATTTTGAAATTCATTGGAAGAAATAACTGCTAGAAATTTTAAACTATTTTTCAACATTACGCATCAATTTTGTTACAACATTGGTTGTACGGGAGTAGGCTGTAGGGATGTTGTCGAGCGCCCGAGCGGTACGCATCGTATTGCCACTGGATCCTTGCACTGCCACTATGCCGGCTCGGCGCTACTGATCAGATTGATTAGGGACACATGCCTGTTAGGCACCATTACCACCCTCACCTCACAAAAATAAAATTTATTAACTAATCTTTTGATCAGTTTACCTGCAGGGTAAAGTTAAAATATATAATACGTTTTGTTGAATATTAAAAATACGATAAGTTTATCTTTAAAATTCATTAAAGAAAAAATATTTATCTACGTTTGCAACAAGTTTTAGAACAATTAAATCCCCTCCAGCTCCAAAGCACTATTAATGGTGTCATTTTCTCCTCAGCTCAGACCTGAGGATAATTATGGTCGGCGGGATTATTGCTTTGTTTTGCTTTGCAAATATAATCTGGATGCAGTACTACCATAGATTAACGATAAACTCAAGTTGCCTTTTTATCACATTGTCAATTTTAAATATTGTTTTTCATGTCTAGTTCATATATGCTGGTGACACTGGAAGTTACTGTTGACGTAATTTTGTTAGGTATTATTTTAGGGATAGTTCTATGTTGTGTGTTTTAATTTCTTGTAATATAACCAGGGGACGACCTATTGTTTATGATTACATCGTTTTATTTTGGACAAACTAGGTTAAATAATTTGAATAAAAATAATTGTTTTCAGCAAAAGAATTGCCCCTAAGGATGACAAATCTACTAAAGGAGTAGGCCTATGTTTAATCTATGGTATCACATACTGTTAGGTAGTTCATGTTTTAGGGCCTGAAATCGGAATCAATGGACATGCTTTTTTGCAGGAATGCTGTGTGGGTTGGATTGTTCTGTTTCAGTCCCACAAGCGTGAGCATTTGCCAAAAGCATAAAATTGACAATTTTTGTTAAAGCTAACCAAAACAATTCTTCAAAAAACTTGCAAAGATAAAATTCCGACAAGGAGTGGTGTTCAAGCAATTAACCTAGGCCTATAGGCATGATATAGTTTTTAATAAAGGTTTGTAGGAAAGAAACTGTGACCAGTCTAGGGGGCAGAAAAATTATTTGGGCCTAGGGGCGCAAAAATGCTAAATCTGGCCCTGTACATTTATGTTTGATTTATGACATTGCGTGTTTTAAGGACAAAATGTACGTTTAAATCTATTTTCCAGGGTCCAAGGAGGGGCTTTAGCCCCTGTAGCCCCCCCCCCCCCCATGGAACCGTCACTGAAAGCATTTTCCCTCCTCTCGCTCAAAAAAACACATCACAGTAAAGCTAATTTAATAAGAATTAATTAAGAGCTATTATTAATTAAGAGCTAATTTAGTAAGAAAATTCAACCGGAGAAAGGCTAAGTGCATTGGTATAAGAAACACGGAGTCAGGCATTTCAGACCTCAGATGGCTGTAAGCGACATTCCAGAGGTCTGGGCCGAAAATGGAACCTTGGGCAGCACCGGAAGTGACATTCATTGCCATTTTTTAATTCTTAACAACTTTTTAATTCACACTTGCCTAATTTTCCTATATAGGCGAGGTGCTAGGTGCAGTTTAGTATGCATGAAAAGAGTCAGAGATTTTGACTTTTGATTTTGGTAATGGGGCCCTAGGTGAGTGTAAAAACCCATGTCGTCGCCTCCAGGGGTGGTCGACAACATTAGGATGGGGGCGCAAGGTTGCGAAAAACGATTATTGGCAAACCGCTTTTAACTCCCTTGTTATTGAATGTAAGTAAAAGATTCTTTTAAATTGACTTTTAATTTTAGAAATGGGGGCATAGGTGAGTGTAAAAATCCATCTCTTAACCTCCAGGGGTTAAAGTTTCAAGTCTCTATCACGTTTCTAAATGGTTAAGATACTAACACCGAAGTAAGGCACTTTCAAGCTTATTCCCCATGAGAAAAACATGGGAAACTGTTATAGCCTCGTAACAGTGTTAGAATCTTTCAAATTGTGACATTGAACTTACATTTTTTTAGGAGTGAAGGAGTAAAGCTACAAAAAAACATGTAATGAGTAATGTTTAAAGTAAACTAACAAGATACAAAGCATTGATAATAAAAAAATTATTAATTAAATAGGAAAAAGTAGCGAAAACCATTACAAAATTTACCAATTTTTGATAGTAGGGTGTTTTTTAGGGGTGCGGGGGTGTGATTTTCAGAAAACGTGTGAAAAGGTTTTGTAGAAAATTTAATTCCTAACGGTGAAAATTCTTTCAAATCTTTTTTAGCTCTTACCGTTTTTGAGTTATAACCGTTTTAAAAAACCCCTGTTTTTTTTTTTTTTTTTTTTTGATGTCCACCATTTTGTTTTTGGGTGGGTTAAAATTTTAAAATAGGACTTTTGAGAATTTCATCGTTAATTTAGGATCCTATACTACAAAACTGCAAAATTTCAAGTCTCTAGCACGTTTCTAAACGAACCAGATGAGCATACCAACGTCTTTAAATTTCATGGTTATTCTCCATAAGAATAACATGGGTCTCGTAAGAGTGGTAAAAAACCTTTCAAATTTTGACATTAAACTAAGGGTAAAGTTACAAAAAAACGTGTATTGAGTAGAATTTATAGTAAACTAAGTTAAGTTCAAAGCATTAATTATATTATTTGCAAAAAAGAATTCTTAGGTAGAAAAAATAGCGAAAATGATTATAAATTTGAAAGAAATTTACCAAATTTTGAAAGTAGGGAGTTTTTTAAATGTGAAGGAGTGTGATTACCAAAAAACGCCTAATAGCGTTTTGTAGAAAATTTAATTCCTGACCATGAAACTTTCAAATTTAAGGCAGTTAAAATTTGAAAATGGGAATTTTGTTAATTTCACCGTTAGTTTAAGATCCCATACTACAATACTACAACATTTAAAGTCTCTAGCACGTTTCTAAACGGTTCAGATGAGCACAAGAAGTCGACCACTTTCAATGCTATTCCCCATAAGAATAACATGGAGGGGAAATTCGATACTTCATGGGGGGTGGGGGGGGATTTGTATCACCCACGACCAAGGAGCGTGCCAAATTTTAACTCCCTAGCACCCTAGCACCTCTATAAGTGCTCAAACATTATTTGTATACCTGAGTCAGTTGAGGCTGTATAGTATATGCAAATTCAATTTTGCGCTCAAACCCCTGAGTTGTCGACCACCCCTGGAGGCGACGACATGGGTTTTTACACTCACCTAGGCTCCATTACCTAAATAAAAAGTCAATTTAAAAGAATCTTTTACTTACATTCATTAACAAGGGAGTTAAAAGCAGTTTTCCGATTAACGTTTTTTGCAACTTTGCGCCCCCACCCTTAAGTTGTCAACCAACCCCTGAAGGCGACAACATGGGATTTACAATCACCTAGGCCCCAATTACCAAAATTAAAAGTCAAAATCTCTGACACTTTTCATGCATACTCAACTGCACGTAGCGTCTGTACTAAAATCAAATGCATGTTATTTGGGTCTAACACTAAAGGCCCCATTTAATTTATAGCCCAGTCAAAAAAGGGTTTTTATCGCAACAAAATGGTGGAAAGCTGGATTTTTTATATGTGATAGAATCTTAGAGGTGTATTTTCCCAAAAGACCCACTTATACCCCTTGAGCTTCCCCCCCCCCCACCCCCTCTAATCCTAGAAATTGCAGCGTTTCACTAAATTGATCATAAGTTGAATACTATGTAAGCTATTGTATTGCAATTTCTTTTGTTTAATATCTGATTAGTTGTCCTACAACTTTTGTTTTTATATATTTTTTCTAAAACCAGTACTTAATGAAATGTAAAATTTAAACTTTGTTAAAAGCTTTGTTTCGGATTACACAATTTTGTTTTTCTCTGTATATATTTTTAAATATAAATAATATGCAAATATGGTTCAAGTTAATAATGTAGTACGGGTTTCAAGGTTTACAAATATATTATTGGTTAGTCATCTAGGTGAACTGGTAAAGAGCTGGGCTTCGGCAAAGGGAGCATGTGCGCGCCAGTTGAATACCTCTGCGCCGCGTAGTCGCATCTAGCCCAGTCAATAAACACACAAACCGCCTTTTGCCATAGTTAAATATTGGAAAGCTGGATATGTTATATGTCATAGAACCTCTTTAAGACGTGTATTTTCAAAAAGTCCTCTATTCTCCGGCTTTAAACATTTAAATGTGATTTGTATTATTTATCATTAGTTTATATACAACTTTTGTACTAAAGGTGTTCTTCTAAAAACAATTTTCAACGATATATAACATTTTAACTTTGATAATGTTTATGTTTTAGAGTACACAATTTTGTTTAGTAGTACACAAAGGAGCTTGTAGACCCAATAATCCTGTGTTTAATTATTGTGCTTTGTCTTTTGATTTTGTCACCAAGGTAAGCCTAAAATTTATCTATTAAAAAATCCTTAAAATGCTGGCTTAAAGCCATCTTTACAAAAAGTTTCAATAGAAATTAGTTTTAAAAATTAATATTGTTATATTTTAAAAAGTTAATTAACCTCAATTACAAATTGTGTAACCTGTAAAATTATCTGATAATCGGTATGATTGAGATTCATGTTAATATTACAGCCTAATATATATTTTGTTATAAGTAATTGTTTATTATAACAGTATCTATTAGTTTGAGTAATTTAATTGAGTAATCTTACATAAACTGCAGAATTAATGGGTCCTCAACCATTTCAGTAATAAGTAAACATGCTCATATCATTAACCATGTTTCTTAAATGGTTTATATAAATTTCATGAATCTTACCACTGATTTCATTAAGTAGAAAGAGTGAAAATTGTGATAAGATAATGACAGTATTTGTCTGAATGGAAAGTGTAAGGCATAGAGCCACCCTTTACAATAATCTTCTAGAGATTTATGTTAATGGAAATAACATAAAAAAACGTAATGTACCTATAATGATGTAATAATATCAACATACAAATGTTATTTTTAGGGGAACCCCATAGATAAATTATCTCTTCCTCGTGTAAAAAGGTGTATCTTTTTAACGAGTCATTCACGTAAAATACAAAAAATTATGGATAAAATAACGTTATTTTAATGTGAAAGACGTAATGAAATGAAATACTACCACAATTATGTTTTTTTCAAATCATGTTCACGTAAAAGTGTGCCGAATTTGCAAGCTCAAACAACCAATACATTCTGCAACAGTACTGGCCAGGTTCTGGATCAGTACTGACCAGGCTCTATTGATTCTGAACCAGTACTGGCCAGGTTCTGAGACATTACTGGTCAGGTTCTGAACCAGTACTGGCCAGGTTCTGAGACATTACTGGTCAGGTTCTGAACCAGTAGTGGCCGGGTTCTGGATCAGTACTGACCAGGCTCTATTGGTTCTGAACCAGTACTGGCCAGGTTCTGAGACATTACTGGTCAGGTTCTGAACCAGTAGTGGCCGGGTTCTGGACCAGTAATGGCGAGGTTCTGGTTCCGGCCCAGGTTCCTGCCAATTCTGGGAACTAGGCCAGGACCTGGCCAGTACTGGATGTCTTATATATAGCTCAAAAGGTAAACATTTTAAACGACTTACCCTCTCTAACATTTCAATTTCTACCATTGCTCTTGCACGTGTACTGTAAGCACCTCTTAATATTTTTACGGCAACGTGAACATTTTTTCTGAAACAAAATTCAAACATCTTATGAAAAATGTAATGTAAAATGTATAAATTACTAAATAGTATACAAGGTTTAAACAAAACTTAACAGAATGTGAGGTGCCAAATTTTAAGGTGGGTAAAAACATACTTCTAATCAACAAACACCATAACGTACCAGTTTTAATCCACAATAACCTACTCCTAGGCCTATGTGCTAGCCATAGTTCGGCAATGAGCCAAAGAACGTAGGCCTATTTTTAATCACAGTGAAGTACATACACACACTCAAACGGCATATTTATTAATAATAGCACTCCATTTCACCAAATAAAGCTAAACGGGCCGATTTTACGAGTACATAACGTCGACGACGACATAACATAACCCCAAATTGGTGTTTGTTGACAGACAACAGACGAAAACTAGACTGGCTCAACAAGTGAATTTGCGATCAGCTGTTGCCTAGTAGTATTTAAGTTCGCCGCTAGAGCGCGTAAGCCTCGGCTGGACTGGAATAAGGGATTTTACTGGAAGACTGAATTATACGTTTGCACGCCGTCTATAAAGTAACATCATCGTTACAATACTACTTACACTTACATGTTGATCGCCGATATTCCGATGGTTAGCTGAATAGTTAATCACGTTACATTAATTTTCATTTATATTGCGCATCCACATTTCTAAATTTGACTTTAGAAGATTTCTAATTTTTATTCTATTCTAAATCGTAGATTTATAATGTAGACTTTGCTGACTTGTTTCATACCAGCCAGTTCCTGACTGCCAGTGACTAGCAGTGGCCGTAAGTTGGCTTCGTTTAATTTAATTCGTTCAAAATTACAACAGTCCTTGTTTGTAAAATTTTTTATTTTGTTTCACCGTTTAGATCCATTCCCGTTATTTCACCATTTTGATACACCGAGACTTGTCGCCTGAGCTCTAAACCCCGTCTTTGGCGGGTGATAGAACCAAGTCTTGGTTCTTTAGATTTGAACAATCAATTACGAATGTTGGCATTGAATTTATATTAACTGTATCACGCCAAATTCTTTGTTTGTATAATATTAATTAGGACCCGACAACTCTATAGGGATTTTTACAACAGATTTTGTTCATTTGATCGACGCACTTTTATTTATTTTACCAGAGTCTATAGTTAATTATTTTAAAGTTTAATGAGTAGTCTATCACATTGGCTAAGATAGAATACTCGTCAGCCCTACAGAGTCAGTATAAAAGTTAGGAAAAATTTACCAAAACCCTTTAGCGAAGGTGGGGATGATACAGCTCCTACTAAGTCTGCAGGATTTCCTGAGCGCTTTTAAACCTCTGAGCCTTCGATTAAATCTAATAAATTGATTAGTCAAAGTCGTGACAACTACGTATTGACCCCTGGATTTTTCTCGGCTCCTTCTGAGCACTCCGGGGAAGAAATTTGAGTGTGGCTGGTTCTACGGGTAGGCCTAGCATGACTTGGTGAATACTAGTTTGTTCCCCCCCTTGAGTTTTGCGTCACAAGAACACTAAAGGATACATTTCTTTCCTTGTTTGATGCAGGCCTAAAAACAGGAACAGCTCACTTACTCTACGGATCATAGCATATACAAGCCTAGTAAATATTGTAGGTTCATCTGCTCAACAGGCTTGTATACACTATAAGCTTATCGAAAATATAAAATAAATGAAGAGGGTTCACCTATTCTACAGATCATAGTGCATATGAGTCTAGCATCTTATATTTAAAAATACAGTTAGAAGGTTCGCTTACTCTACAGATCATAGTGACCTTGAGCCAAGCGTACGAATTATTTTATAATAATTCAGGAATCGGCTTGTAGTGTGTACGAGCATGGGCGCCCGCAGGATTTGTAACAGGGGGGTGCAATATATAGGTCTAACAAAGATTTGGGGGCCCGGGAAAATTTCTAAAGTATAGAGTGTTTGACAAAATATTTTAACGATATTTAGTAACACATAAACCAAAACAAAATGGTATATATTACATTATTATGCATAATTTATATGGTTAGACAATAGACAATAGACAATTTTCTTTATTTGTGATTTCTTTAAGAAATACAATGGCGTCAGAAAGATTCAGAATGTTTAACATTTAGATTGTTTTAACAGTTTACATTTTCTTTTGTGTTGAAAGTTCATAATTGGTCAAAAAATTCCTTAAGGGAGTACACCGGTCGGTCCACAAGCCAAACAATTATAAAGAAAAATATATTTACAGTTGAATAAAACCTAGATAAGAGCCAAGAAAGTTGATGTTTTGTTTTCTAAATATTGTTGTTAATGTAAAAGAATGGTATGTCTGTGAGTCAACTACTTAACTTATTTGAATTACAAATCAATTTTAAACATTTTTTAGATATGACCCTTATGAGTGTACTAAGCCCCACTTTTGATTACTAAAAGTGATTACAGTACATTATGGGTATCAAATTTATTTATTTTTTTAAGCCAGGGGGTGCCCTTTCCCCTGTGGCGCCCATGTGTACGAGCCAAAATACTGAATTAATATCATTTACAGAAATGGGCTCGTATACCTACAATACAATATGGGAAAAATATTAGATGGTTTCACCTACACTACAGCTCATCATGTACACAGGTTGCGCGGATGCGTTTATGAAACTGAAGGCACTAAGCCCAGCTTCGACTGCTGCGTATTGTAAGTACCCAGAAATGTATTGCAACACCTCTTAACATTACCACTAACGTTAGGTTAGGTTAGTTTATATAATTATAACCATAGGTTAAACAGCGGGTTATACGTTTCCCGCTGCACTTCTAGTACAACGCCTTAAACGATGTGCTGCAAAGCACGCGACGAGTAGACATGATGAGCTGTTGTGTAAGACGGACGTCTACTATTTTTGCGATATTTATTAAGAAATAGACTCGTAGTCGTAGTACATAAGAGCTTAACTTATCATGGGCGTCCATATAACTTTTCCATAGGGGGGGGGAGTCTGGGAGGTACGGAATAACCCCCAGTAGAGAGGGATCCGGGATCATCGCTCAGGAAATATTTAAAATTAGAGTATCTGATTATCCGAGTCCTGATTATCTAAGCCCCGGTTATCCGAACCCTTGGCTTATCCAAGGTAAACAATAATTACATTTTTATAGTGTGCTTCTTTTGGAAGAAAAGTAAAATAAGCATGTAATTTGGTATTTTTTTAAATGAATTCTTCAAACAACTGAGTGTTTATTTTAGAATGATCCGCAATAACCTAGAAAATTAAAATCACACAGTACTAACACAGATTAAAAAATAGACTGGAGTCCGGGGGATTTCTGCAATAAGTGAGAAATTTCCTCGTTTTTTACTATTTATTAAGATGAATTGGATAACGGCACTTTTGGAATAAAATAAATGTTTGTGTTCGCAAATATTGTTATGCAATGACTGAAAAATTCAACTCTTGTACTTTCTACCATTGACTAAAGTACCTATACATATATAGGTAGTCAATGTTTCTACTAGTACTTCTAACGGGTTTTTAAGCCTTGGTTCACTTTGACCAGCAACGTCCTCAGTTTATTGTCCGTTTCATTGCTCCTAGTCTTTCAATTCGTGTCAGTCGGCTAGTCCGAAGTCAGAAGTTGGAAGTTATCCATATTGTTCACAACCAAAACCGAACCGAGTCTAGTCAGACAGAGAGCGATATGTTTAAATTATTCGTTATTTTTTGTGAGATGTCACTTTTCACATTAATAATGTGACAAATCAAGTACTAAGGGAAAGTAAAACTTGTAAAAAGTAAAATTTGCAAGATGCAAATTTTGTGCAAATTTGTGTGTACCATACTTGAATATTTTGACATTGTAGCACGAATATTGAACAGAAACGGTGTGGAATAATAAACATCAACAAATTACGACACTGGCCTGAATGCTAAGAGGCCTACTAATAGCCATACCAACTTTTTGGACGTTTTTTGACAGTTCCATTTAAATATTAATAAAATGTATAATTTCTGTTATAATTTTGTGCTATGTAGGTATACAATTTTGCTAGCCCGTATATTTTTATTTACTGTAGTGGGGGCCGTCAGCGAAACTCTCCTCTTTTTACAAATTACCCTATGGCAACCCTAGACATATGTCTGTTCTGTAATCCGTGAAACTAGATGACCAACAGTAGACAAGGTCCAACAGTAGACTAGCTGTTTACTGGCCACCGACTGTTGGCAAGCCGAACACAATAGCAGTAAACATTAGCAGTAGCAGTGTCATTACCAATTGCTGCAGACAAGCCATGATTGGCTTTTGTGGCTGTATTGTATGTGTTTTGTAAATATTACAATGTTGTAATTACAATGTGAAAACAAGAAACAATGATGAAATGTGAGGTTATGGTTAATAACAACGACTGTTTCACATATGTAATGCTCTGTGCCTGGGTCCTCCATACCCGAGGTTTGGAACTATTATTTGTATTGGACATCATATTTTTTAACACTATTTGAATATTGTCTTTAATAACTCAACAAAATAATAAATATATTAATAGAGAAGTGAAGGGCAAAATCATCAAAAAGTTATTTCAAAACTTTTAACAATAATATTATTGTAATTGGGAGAAAATCAGTACCTGTAGTGTACATATACACAGTGTTATAACTAGATGAAAAGGTTATTGGTAATCCTGTAGCAGTGGCAATCTACCTATAGTGTAACATTCTAACATGTTTACAAACACATTTTATTAGTTTTACCATCCTAGAACTTGTCAGATGAAGCAATCTGTAACTGTATGTTTATTTTATTTACAATAGTACGCGTATTTATAAACCTTAAAGTTCCAACCTTTAAAGAATCAGAATATAGAGGGCCTGAGGGCCCTCTCTGATGAGAGCAGCCAGGGGCTTCTCTGGTGAGAGCCGCCGGGGGCCTCATCGGTTCTGAATACGGCCCTGGTCTAAACGAGGTGAACACAATGAGACCTGAGCTCTGTAGCGTAGCTGTGTATTATGTGCTGTATGTTTTAAAATTATTGAATTTCCTGCCGCATGCATCATAAGATAAGACTCATTACCAATTATAGTCATTGTCAAAAATGCATGATGACATAATATGTAATATACATTTTAAGTGATGGTGCTTTTTGCCTTTGGGGATATAAAAACAGAAGTTTGGGTCCTGGATCTTCCCATGAGATCTATGGTAATAGCTTATTCCATATAGGCCTAAGTTGTAGGAAATTTGCTAAAAACTAAGGATGAAAGTATGATTCTAGACTATAGCTCACTTGGTGAGTGGCTCGATCAAGATATATTCTATTTTGATATAAAAATTAGCTGCAGTTGGTCCATATACATGTTTTCTTCAGTAAATTAAAATGTTATTGGCAGTAAGCAAAATAATTATGTCTCTTGTGGTCATACAACAGACATAAGGATGAAAAAACTATTCTATATTAACTTACTGGCAATCCCAGCACAGCCAAACTTCTGAGTATTTGCCACACCCTAATTTGCGGACAACCTTGTAACGTCTGTCCAAGACCTCTCCAGCAGTCACCGGATGATATTCCCCAGGATAGTACTCCTGAGGCTTCTCCACACCCTGGTCCGGATGTTCTTCCTGCTTCTCCTCAGCAGTGGCCTTGACCAAGTCTTGAGATTCAGATCTAAAGAAAAACAGAATTCAGTTAGATAATGTTTGTTAATCAATGGTTGACAAAAATTTGTCAATGGTAATTTTAAACTAACATAGCTTTGATACCCAACTCCACTGCATTTACAAAATACCCCCAACACAGCAAACCTACAGACTAAGCAAGCTTTCTCAAAATCTGGCAGTAAGCGTTTAAAGTGCCACGGAGTAAACTTTTCCCAGAGCTTTTTTTTAAAACAGCTTTTGTGCAAGTATGGCGTTCACACTGAGCTAGTTTACTTTCTGTGTGTAAAAAGCTAGCGCAATGCTTGTAAACTCGTCCCGTGTGAATGGGCTTATAGTTTGATGAATCTAACGATTTAATTTTTCTAGCCTAACTTAACCTAAGATTATCTTTTGCTTATTCTCCATATTATCTTTGAGAGTGGGGCTGATTGTCTCAGCTTGTGATGAGGCTATGCCTCGCAGGAGATCCCGACTCAATACGGTCATGAACATGCGTTACTTGCGTCAAGGCATGCATTGAGGCATGCGCTTGGCGCACACAAAAGCGCACGAGTGTGGACATAGCTACTAAGGGACAATGTTGATTCCAACCAGTGGGGCCTTGAGTACAAACTAAACTTGGCAACCACTCTCCACCTTCCGTCATGAACGGGGCCACTATGGAGAGGATAGTCAAGTCCCTTTTCCCGTCTCACATGTTGCGCCCACAGCGGGATTTCGGAGGGTAGACGACGCCCCACTTTTCAGTCTTAAAGGGATGGAGGCGGCCGTTCTATCCTTGAAGTACAATAAGACTCCTGGACCCGATTGGGGTACCCAGTGAAGCCCTCAAGAAGGTTTTAACTACTAACCCCTTGACCCTTTTGAGTGTGTTCAACGCCTGCCTGATCGAAGAGGTTTTCCCCTCGTGCTGAAAAACAGCTAGGCTTGTGCTTGTTGGGAGGGGAAGGGAGACCTGGACCAATCTTAACCAATGTTCTTCCTTAAGTTTATGGGATGAGACAAAACAATCATATGTGCATTATGTCCAAGCTGTGGAGGTGTGTAAGATATGTTACATTAATGTTGGTCAGCTAAACGATTAGTCATTTAATAGTATGAATAAATTAAAAAAGCCTTCAATTTCTATACCACACATACACTCAGATACATTAGATTTTCAGACTCTGAATAGTTGTCAACTAATAGGTTACTACTAAGTTAAAATAAACATAGTCTCAAATTTAAAACTTGTAGAGGGTAATGTGGGCTGTAGGCTACTTATGAATTGAAGGAACTGTTGCGGTGAAGATCAGGTGAGGTCGGCTGAGCCCCAGCTTACGATAGGCTATGGGGCAAAATCATTGGCAGATTATGACCTCAACGGCCCCTAGGCACATGTAAACAACTTGGGCCTTCCCTCATGGGCGTCATTTCAGACTTTTAACTGGGGTGGTAAGATCCACCCCGGTCTGCGGCCCTCCCCTGGGAAATTTCAACAAACTGGCTTTAACTTTGTTAGTTTTTTAAGCTTTTTCAAACTATTTTTACAACAATTTTATTTTTATTTTTCTGTCTGCAGCCCCCTGAGACCTGCAGCCCCTAGGCAGTTGCCTATCTTGCCTAAATGGGTAATCCCCCACTAGGCGGAATGCACCTTAGCCCCCTTAGCCTATAGCCAAGGTCGATAGGAGCTCGAAGTACCGTGGTGACATGAGTCTGTGTGATAAACCCGACACCCAGGACAATGGCAGAGACAAACGGGGCAGATGACTCCCAGCTGTAGTCTCGATTGGGACCACGATGGACATCCAGCCTGCAGTGAAGACCACGTGAGGTTAAAGCCTCAGCCTGTAGCTGCGATGTTAGGTGAATGATCCGAACCCCGACTACAGCAGCAGGTGGAGTTCCCTAGGTACCGTAACGATGCAGGGATCTGTGTGTTGAACATGATTCCCCTTGGACTAAATGAGGTCATGCACACAATTTTGGGGATGACAACTAACGATAATGGATGGTCATCAAATGGCTCACTGTGGAAGGGGTAATCAATCAATCGATCAATCAAGGGTAGCGACAGGGGTCCGTGCAACGAGCCGGATTCCCAGATGACAGCACCAAAAGTGATCTGTGTGAGAAACCGGATGCCAAGATGACCGATGGAAAGTAACTCAATCCTCTAGTCCCGGACCACGGCATCGTCTGCGTGATAAACCAGATGCTTGAGATTGCTGACGCAGTAAACCTCATCCAAGGTAACGTTGAAAGTGAAAGTAAAATCTAAACACGAACCCTGGAAGGCCAACCCAAATCTCTGTACTGAGGCCTATCCGGAAACTTTGTGGTTTATAGTGTCTGGTACTTGAACCTGGCATATAAAATGTTGTTTTATGTTACAGTGGTGGAAAAGTATGTCACAAAATATACACTATGTCTGACAATAATAGGCCTACATTAATAAAAAAAAGTCTTGCATTAATAACTACACTCTGGGCTATTCAGGAGGTCATTTGAAGGTAACTTAATTCAGTAGCCTAACAAAATACCAAGTGAGCACATTTGAGAATAAATTAACAGGAAAAACAGTGTTTTAAATCATGCTTAGGCTGTCCATACCTTTCCTACATATGAAAAAAACATTGTTTTCATGATATGTAGCTCTGTAGAAGAAACACATTTTAAATAATGAAAATGAAAATTGCTTATACAAATGCTATTTGAACTTTTAGGAAATTTTTTGTTAGGATTAAGTTTAGCTTATATAAGCCGGGTTTACATTATGATGCAAGACCTGTTATATAACTTTTGCTATTTTTATACAACAATGCTGTATAACTTTTGCTAAGTTATACAAAAAAGTTAGACCACAGACAATTTAGTGATTTTAATGCCCGTGCTAAATATCATAATATGATATTACATACACAATGTGTTACATATTATGTAACGCAACCTCATTCACATTCTGCATTGAAATGCCGTGCCGAAGCGACCTATTGCTCTGTGGAAGCGAAGGTTTTGGTTTCGACCGCGACTTGCTTCAAGAAATAAGTACAGTGGAAAAGATCTAAGTTATTACGGGACCTTAATGATGACGATCACGCTGACGATCCATCAATAAAACACAAAATAAAACGAGATGGTAGCGGTAGCTTCGATAAAATTTTTACCTACATGACGAGTGAAGATTTTGAATTCATCATTGGCATAATTGGCCACAAGATTGAAAGAAAAAACAACATTCCGAGAATGTTGGATGTAAGTTAGCGTGTAAGATTTCTTTTGATCTTTCGACTCCCGATGGATACCGTAGCACAATTTTTGCTATGCAGAATCTGCTATAACTTAGGCCTATAACTTATATAGCACTTTTAAGTTACTTTTTCTACTTCTAGCAATAATGTTATATAACATTGCTAACTTAGATGTTACACAAATCTGCTAGGCCTATGTAACTTAGCAGGTTTTGCTACATAGTGTAAACCCGACTTTACGATAAGTTAACAACTCGAATAAGGGACAAAAGTGATTTCTGTCAAATCTTACTTTACAAGCAAGGCAAAAGAACAAAAATCACCACAAACACTATCTTTCATAGTTAACTATAGTTGAAGGATAAACCTACACTAGGTATATGAATAATCTTTTAACAATTACAATTTTGAACCATAATATTTACAGGGTGATTGTGATTTAGGATGTTTTCATAGGTTTTTAGACTATCACCTATCACACAATAAGGCCAATGTATTTCAGGTTCTACCTAGCCTACTCTTTACAATCAAAACGTAAATATGTAGCCTACCTTGACATTGTGTAGCCTATCCTTCTGTTCAAGTTCAACACAAACTACTAGTCAAGTCTATCATGAACAACGAACAACCAACCACAACACAAGGATCCAACAATGCCAACAAAATTCTAGACCAGCTTAAACAGCCGAAAACCTTTCAGCTGATATTCAGAAAACAGAAAAGGGTGTTAGGTATAGTATTACCATTGATTATATATATATATATATATAATTATAACGTACATCGACCATAAATCGATTATTAGAACAGAATCTATGTGGATCATGTGTCTACCTATGGTTTGTCCCCGAATTTTGACATTTCTCATTCTCACGGAAACAGTAGGAAAACTAACTTGCAATGTAACATAATGTATTTAACCATTTTGATCTTTTTACAAATTTAATTTGATTGCAAAATATAACATAAACAGCGATAAATAAGAGTAAACTGTTTAAAGGCATTTCACTAAAACGCCTAATGTGTAGAAAATTAATAATTATTCTCACTAAATATGTGGCCAATTGGTTAAATTCAGCAGGCAAAATTCAAGAGGTAAAAAGCAGGGGGTAAAAGTAGCAGTACCTTGCCACTGATGGGTACCGCACGGGTGCCGTCGCTTACGGGTGTGCCACTTACGGGTGCGCTACTTACGGGTCCTTCACTTACAGGTGCCACTTCTGTTGGGTGCCGCCACTTACGGGTGTCGTCGCTTACGGGTGCTACTCCTGTTGGGTGCGACCGCTTACGGTTGCCACTCCTGTTGGGTGCCACCGCTTACAGGCACCGTCGCTTCGGGTGCCGTCGCTTACGGGTGCGGTCGCTGCCGCCACTTTACGGGTACCGTCGCTTACGGGTGCGCCGCTTACGGGTGCCGTCGCTTTACGGGTGCCACTCCTGTTGGGTGCCGCCGCTGCCACGTTAAGCCCGCCGACTGTAGTCGCGACCGTGACGGCACGGCGGTGACGGAAAACGACAGTCAAAGGGCACTAACATATTTAAGGAATTATTTAAGTGAAAATTCAGTAACGGAAATGGAAATTCGTTTAGTCTGCGGATATTGCAAATTATGGATATTTTCAATAACCTGTCGTCGGCTTCAGTTGTAACTATCATTGTTCGAGCAGAAAAACTTTAATATTTTTATGAAAATGATCAAGGAAAAACATTTGTTAATGAGTGCGTGCACTCTTAGAAACTTCTGAAGAGTGGTGGTGCTAAGGACAGCCCCTTA